CAGAAAAATCAGTTGCATAAATAAACACTTACAACAGGATAATTATTATTTATAGTAAGCTAGTCATTCCCAGTATTTGAGGAAGTCTAATGTCATCATCCTGAATCGTGCTTTATTTGCTTAATTCTGTTCTCCCCAGTTTCAAGAGGTTTTCAGATCAAATAAAATTCTGTTGAATATAAAACCAACAAAGTGACAGAAATTTAGGTGGGGGGGTAAAGCACTATACTTGAAAGTTAATCATTTTGAAAACTTGCTTTTTTTTTTTTAACTTTCTCCTAAATGTTAAAAGAGACAAATGCCCCTGTAGGGAGACTCATTTTTGAGCTTCACAATCATTATTAAAAAGTTGCTGTTTTTCTGCACATCAGATTAAGTTAATGATCAGTCATCTTTAAAATACTTACTTGATGGGGAGAAATAGGAAATCACAATTCTATTGTAATAAAGCAGAAGGTGAAGTGTAAAACTCTTAAGTTCTGAATGGATCAAGCACCAATAATAATTCTGGGTTCATCTTTGCTTTATCAACTGCTGCACTAAGTTATAATGTAGACAGCCCCTCTCTGAGGGAGATGGGTGGATAAGAAATGTGAAGTATACATAAATATAAATAGAATAATCCTGCCTGAGGTAAATGAGCTTTCAGATAGATGGGATCTTTCTCTTTTCTTCTTCTTTGTAAAGAGATTTGATTTAATGTAGATTTAATGGGTTCTTAGTTGCATAGCCTTTGGATGGCAGTTCCCTTGGCCTCCAACTGGGCAGTGCAGGAAACAGCACAGAAAATGTGCCAGGGTGGAGCCATTATGTTTAGTAACTATTATTTTAAGAATATTAAACAATAGTATGGGAAACCTGTGGCTGGGACTGCAGTAATGAAAAGGCAGGGAAAACTCACATGATGTAACAGCTCCTATATACAATGTGTGTCTGTTTCTGCCTTTTGTTTCTATGCTGTGGGAAATTTTTTATCTGGAAGAACACAAAATCATGGGAAGCCCCTGCCCGCAATTTGAAATGCTCCAAACAAGATTTATCACCTCAGTGTGCATTAGACCTCATGTTTCCTGTTTATTCCTTAGCTCCCATTCTGTCTTCTCTTCAGTAGTTATCATCTGTTACAATCCTCTAATTTCCCCCTTTTTTTGAATCCCAAATTATTGGTTTCTGGGCTACAATTAACTTTAGGAACACGGAGTTTGAATAGTGGTTCACAGATGTTCTCTTTTCCTTCCTTGTTCCTTTCTTCATACTTCAGTGAATGTTTGCATTGCCCTATATCAACCATTCTTTCTTATTGAGTTTTCTATCCCTTAATCTATTTTTATTTAGAATCCTATCTAGGATACAATGCCACTTTGATAAAGCCATGTTACATCATACATTATCAGTTTTAATGAAGGTTGTTTCTAGGGAATTCCTTTTGTCTTGTTTCCAGAGAAACTGCATTAATGGAGAGAGTGATAAATGCTGTAAGGTTTGGTGAGACCCAATATGGTGTCAAACTCGCATTGTCATGTTGTTGTCACGTGATGTATCATGACTTTTCCCCCTTCACTAAACTGGGGGTGGGCGTGGCCAGTGTGTGACACATCCAGCCTGCGGGCCACAAGTTTGACAACCCTGGTATAGGGTTAACATCAGTGGTGGGTTGCTCCCGGTTCTGTCTGGTTCTATAGAACTGGTAGTAAAACAGGTGGAGGCCGTATGTTGCTCTCTCTTGTCCCAGAACAAACTGTTGATGAGCAAGATCAATAGTGTTGTTGCAACTCAAACATCATCTTGGGTGGGATTAGCAGCAGCTGGATCCTTTCTGCTTAGGCATTGGATGGTTTTGCATTGATCCTGCTTCTAAAACAGAATAAATAAACATGGCCATAACAGGACGAATAATCTTAATGAGTGGATGAGATTAGGCAAATTAGTCCTTTATATGAACATGTCAATGGAAGAGGAAGAGTGTTCTAAAGAGATCTTGGTGGCCATGTAAACTGATTCTCTTCTCTATCTGCAACCATAATAATTCTGATAGAGGCTCACCTATTACATTACAAGACAAACTTCCCCAGCATCTTAACTGTCATGCAGCTTTTATTATGTGTTTCTCCCAATCTTAGAAATGCATACCTTTGTTCGTAAGTCAGTATGAAAGTATAAGTAAATAATATTAATAAATACAGATAGTCCTTGCTTAGTGACTACAAATGTTCAAAATTATGGAGGCTCTGCCTGAGGGCAAATTACAACCAGCCTTCAAAGTTGCAGCCATCAGAGTATCTACACAGTCACGGCTTGTACTTAAAATGGTTGCAGTGCCCCACTTGGCAAGTGGCTTGCATTTAAAATGGGTTCAGTGCCCCATGGTCACACAATCAGCATTGAGACCTTCTTTGTCAGTTTCCCACAAACAAAGCCAATGGAGAAACAGGCAGGGAAGTTTTCAAGTTGCTCCTCTAAGTTGCCTTCACTTCTATTACTTTTTTTTTGCCTGAGAAACCTCTGGGTGGCAAGGTGAGCGTGGGCCCCATTGCAGTGTTCACCCATATGTCCTATCACACTCGTGCCCTGCAGCAGCATACATCCAAGTGCTTTGTTGCAATCATGCCATGGTGCAGCATCCACCTGCATTCCCTATTACACTCATGCCCTGGGGCAGGGTTCAGCCCCCCCACCTGCTCCCCTTGTGTCACACAGTGTACCCACCTATGCATGTTACTGTGCTTGTTCTGCATGGCAGTGCCACATGATAACTATATACTAAATACATAGCAAGACAATTATCAACAACACAACGAATATGATAAATGCACATTTAAGAATTGTAGCACATCTTGTGTCATAATGGTAAGACAGTTGTAAAATAGGACTCTTTTTCATGAAGTAGGATCCTTTAAAATATTGCATAAAAGTGGCTTTTTTGCTTCTGCAAATACTTGGACAGTATTATTGGACAAGAGCTGTTTTCCAACAGATTTTAAATGGGAATATTAAAGTCCTCATTTTAAAAATGCCCTTTGGATATTTTGTCAGCAAATTGTGCATGGCATGCCTGCAGTGCTTAAATGGCACAATTCCTTGATTTTGTTTTGCCCGTAATGCAAGGGATTAAGAAAACTCTGAGGGGAAAACCAGTTTGCAGTGCAACTGGAAGTAAGAAAAGGGACTCACACCCCTATCCACATTAAGCATCTTTTAAATGATCATTTAAAAAGTAATCTATATCTTAATGATGCTCAAGTGTTGTTTAGTCCCTATGATGGCAGTAAGTACCAGTCCATGCTGAGGGGAACATGCTCATTTGTATGGGCCTTCCTTCAATGTTCCTATTTCAGTACCTGGCCTTAATTGAACCTAACCATTCCCACCATCAGAGGAAAACTTTTTAGGGATGGTATTTCTATTCTTTTTTTTTTTTTTAATGATTCAGATTTCAGAAAAAATAGATTGCAGTGCCCATCAGGGATCTCCTAAAGCTAATGCCCACTATGTAGTTATCTAAAGTGAGAAAATGTATGAGTTCTGGTAGAGAATTTGAATCCCATAAAATAACCTCTGGTTACCTGCACCTGAAGAGTCCCCATAGGGATTAAATTGGCCACGTGGTGCCTCCTAGTGGTCACTATAAGTGCTTACAGTTAAAAGAGATTGCCTGCCTGGAGAGTATCTTCACGTAGATGCAGATGGAAGCCCCAACTGAAGATATTTCTATATTTTTTCAAGTAGTATGACAATGATAGTTAGATGTATTTTCTGTTCTTCCTGGACTCTGTTTGGGTTTAGCACTTTCATGTTACTAATAAAGGAGAATATTTGTAGCTCAGGGTTGAAATGAGAGGTCCTTGGTGCTCTCTGAGCTTGGTTGTTTTCTTGCAGAGGTTTCATTACCCAATCTGGGCAACATCATCAGTGCTCTTTCATGTTTCCTTTCTTCCTTCTTTCCTTGTGATGAAAATAACATACACTATGTTTCTTTTCATATTTTCTACATAACAATCTTGCATGATAGGCTAAACTGAAGAGAATGAATGTCCCAAAGTCACCTAGTGAGCCTTTATGGTTGAAGTTGGAGCAGAATCTGGATCTCCATATTCTTAATCCAATACTTTAAATCACTCTACCAGAATGGTTTTCTCCCTCTCTCTCTCTCTCCCTCCCTCCCTCCCTTCCTCTCTCCCTTCCTTCCTCTCTTTCTCTTTCTGAAAAAAACACAGATGGTAGCTATAATACGCCAAATGAAATGAATTTTTCAAATAGATAAAAAGTAATAGTAATTTTCAGTGCTGATTATTGTAACAGGAATATATTCTACAGATCCAGTTTTGCACAACAGTATCAAAATAGTAATGTAAACTTTTTATTTTGCACAACAGTATCAAAATATTGATGTAAACTGTATTTCTATTTGTGTTGTATTTTGATCGTCTAAATATGCGGTTACCCATTTTATCATAGTGGGATACAAGTAGATGATTAGGTGGGGAAAATGTCCAAATTGGAACTAGCATTGAATTTACTAACTTTGTTCTTTCTTTCTTACTGATTTACTTGAGTTACTTTCTTTCTAAAATTTACTTCAGCTGTTTTATCATTCCATGTTTTTTTAATTTCTTATAATCATAATCTTAGGATGGTTTCCAGAGCCTCTGAAACTGTCATTTTATGCTGTAGCACCATTACTCAGACTATTGCTGTTTAATGTATTAGAATTACAGTAAAGATCCCAGAATTCCTATTCAGCATGCCTTCCTATATGTGCATGGGCGCGCGTGCACACACACACACACACACACACACACACACACACACACACACACGCAAAGAAGTGTGTGAATTATGCATCTAAATCTTTTCAGCCTTTTTTCCCTTTTCGCCATTTTAACACGTTTCTAGGACTTCCATTCATCCCAATATAATGCATAAACATTATTGTAGTCCTAACGTCTTCGTGTTAAATGCATTATCAAATATTCTTACTTAGACTGTATTCTGTTGTGTAGGTCACAGGACTTTGTTTATCGGGGTTCATGTGCCACTGGGTGGAAGAAAAAGCCATCGCCGCCATAGACACCGTGGACACAAACACAGAAAGAGAGACAGAGAAAGAGATTCGGGATTAGAGGATGGCCGAGAGTCTCCTTCATTTGGTAAGTCTTGCTTTATTATTGTATTTAAAAAAAAAATAGTTCAGTGAAATGGGAACTGCAGTAAATAAGAGTTGATACATTCTAGTCCTTTTGAAGTTTTGGACGATAAGGGTAATAGTCTGAAGAGGAACACGTTAGAGCAGACATGTCAAAATGACACCAGAGAATATATGTATAGTATCAAGTTCTTTTTTCCTAGAACAAAGCAGGGCTGGTAGAGCAGGTAAAGCTTGTAAATATTGCTACGTACCTAAACAACTAAGAAATTATGACATAAATTCATAAAATTTATGAATTAATTATTCTTAATTCATAAAAGAATAATCAGAGTACAGTAGTATATTCCTCAAAACTGATTAAAGAAATCTCCCTACCATCAGCATCTCTTTCATCCCAGGAATTGAGTTGTTTTGTCTACCCTAGGATGACTTTTACTCTGTAAAAATCTAGAAGATGGTAAAATGAAGGAGATACATCAGTGCGACTGAAGGGCCATTTCCTTACTCAGAAATGTGTCTCCCCTATAACAAGCATCCAAAGCACAGCCATGTTTTGCTTATTATTATTGAAGAATCAGGGCGATTAGGCTTTAAATAGAAATGGGAAATTTTTTTTTGTTAATTTGTGTTAACTTTTATTGGATTTTGCTGTTTAATAAGGTGAGCTGAAGCTCTAGAGATGAGTTTATAGAAAATGGGGTAAGGTATGGAATAAAGAAATATTTGGTTTAACAAATTAACAGAATTGGAAGGCACCTTGTAAGTCTTCTAATCCAACCCCTTGCCCAAGCAGGAGACCTTACACCATTTCTGACAAATGGCAGTCCCAGTCTTTTCTTGAAAGCTTCCAGTGATGAAGCTCCCACAACTTCTGAAGGCAACTTCTGTTCCACTGGTTGATTGTTCTCACTGTCAGAAAATTCCTCCTTATTTCTAGGTTGAATCTCTCCTTGGTTGTATTTTAAAAGGCAGAGATAAATTGTTAATGTTGAATGTACTTGTTGGGGATGAAAGGGAAGTTTCTTTTTCTTATTTTCCGCGTTTTGGGCAGGAATGGGGTGGCTTCCTGCAGCTTCTATCTTTTTAATGTATTTTTGTATCTGTTTTATCTGTTTAATATGATTAACAACATTATTCAAAAAGAAAAAAAAACGAAGTACAGCCAGTCTTTTATATCTCACCTGGACTTGGTCTTCAGACTACACTATCTCCCACAAACTTATAAACCCTACAGAAAGCATCAAATGCCATCAGTCGGAACTACAGAGGATATTGTTATAATGGCTTATAGACGGAGTGCCATCTTACTAGATCTATGAAGGGACCTATTACTAGTGTTAATTGTTACTATTATTTATATGAAAATAGTGATTTGGAAGCAGGTAGAGTAGTATCAGTGAGGATTTCTTTGTCTCCAAGTTCCTTCTGTTCACTGCCTACTGTAATTTGAAATTCCAGGGACCCTTAATCTCGGAAGCTGCCCTGATCCTCACCTCTCATTCTTCAAAAGGGACATTCACTTAGCCTTTGGATATTTTATCTCTTAATACAGGAACATTTATTGAAATTGTGCTTCTAACTTGCAGTCTTTTTGCCATATATTTTCCTCCTTTAGATGTGTATTAAAACTCCCAATACATTATAATGCTTTAGAATTATAGCTGTACATGGAAAATTTATAAGAAAACATTAATTTATCAGGTTAATGGCCCAGTCATTTTTAATTCTTATTTCTCTTCTGACTTCTTTCCCCCCTGCATTTTTTCCCTATTTCTGTTTCATTTCTCTTCTTTATTCCATTTGAACAACAGAACAATTTGCCATTATGTCTTCTCTTACTGCCAGCTATTTGGCAGGTAATAAACTGCCTCTCTCCCGTCTTCTTGAATTCCTGCTTCTTTTGTTCCTTCACACTGGAAGGTACAATGAGTTTGTTCCTCCACACCGGGAGATACAGTGAGTTTGAAAACCCTCTGCAGAAGCATTGAATAAACCACCACCATTCTTATTTGCTGGTTAGTTTGTACTGTACTAACTTTTGCTGGAAGCCATCCAGGAATAATAATAATAAAAAATCAAAATATTAACACGAATGAAGGCGAATAAACTTGTCCCAAGATAATGTTGCAGGATCCAATCTGGGTCGGTCACTGGGACCAGAGGTTTTGTCTTCTGAGCTTTCAGATTTGTAATATAATAATATAATAACAGAGTTGGAAAGGACCTTGGAGGTCCAACCCTCTGCTAAGGCAGGAAACCCTACACCGCTTCAGACAAATGGTTATCCAACATCTTTTTAAAAACTTCCAGTGTTGGAGAATTCACAACTTCTGGAGGCAAGTTGTTCCACTGATTAATTGTTCTAACTGTCAGGAAATTCTCCTTAGTTCTAAGTTGCTTCTCTCCTTGATTAGTTTCCACCCATTGCTTCTTGTCCTGCCCTCAGGTGCTTTGGAGAATAGCTTCGCTCCCTCTTGTTTGTGGCAGCTCCTGAGATATTGGAACATTGCTATCATGTCTCCCCTAGTCCTTCTTTTCATTAAACTAGACATACCCAGTTCCTGCAGCTGTTCTTCATATGTTTTAGCCTCCAGTCCCCTAATCATCTTTGTTGCTCTTCTCTGCACTCTTTCTAGAGTCTCCACATCCTTTTTACATCGTGGCAACCAAAACTGAATGCAGTATTCCAAGTGTGGCCTTACCAAGGCATTATAAAATGGTATTAACACGTCATGTGATTTTGATTCTATCCCTCTGTTTATGCAGCCTAGAACTGTGTTGGCTTTTTTTGGTTGTGCTGGAGCCCCACCCTCAGGAAACATCTTTCTTCAGGTTCTGGTGAAGAGAGATGTTCCATGAGGATGGGCTCTAGCACAAGTCCAAAAGCTCAGAAGACTGAACCTCAAAATATTAAAATCACAAAACCACTAAACATTTACAAATTTAAGAGGAGTCATGTAAATCCGATATTTTTTACATATGTATGCAGGGAGAGATGTCCTTCTGTCTTCCTCTGCCTTGAATATCATAATCATCCAAGCATGAGCCCCATTTCCTTCTCCCAATGGCTCAATTTTAACAATGAGTTCAGCTTTAACGATTCTAGAGTTGTCCCATGCTGCTATAATGATGTTGTTCCCCGGGAGAAATTTCTAATGGACTTAATAATGATAGAAAGTACTTTTCTGCCTGAATAGGAATATAGCTATTAAAAGTATATAAAGGATGTGAATACTTTTGGTATTGTACTAAAAAAGACAGATCTTACAAGATCCAATCTGGGTCGGTCACCAGGATCAGATGTTTTGTCTTCTGAGCTTTCGGACTTGTGCTGTAGCCCATCCTCAGGGAACTTCTCTGTATGCTTTCACAGAGAAAACACACAAAGAAGATCCCTGAGGATGGGCCTACAGCACGAATCCGAAAGCTCAGAAGACAAAACTTCTGGTCCTGGTGACTGACCCAGATTGGATCCTGCAACATTATCCTGGAACAGGTATATTCACCTTCATTTGTCACAGATCTTACAAAAACATGGGTGAATAACTTACAATACAATATTGCAATGTGAAAAAATATTTGAGTTCCTTAGAAATGCCAGTGTAATTTCTGGTGTAAACTTAACAAATCTTTTATTTTAAAATATATTTCAATGATAAGCATTAGAAGTACAAAAGCAAAATGATATGAGCCTTTAGAGAAGGAGTTGAAATTGTTAACATCTCTCCCTTCATATTTTCTGAATATGAAGGCAGAAAAAGTATCTTTCGCAATCTGTTATTAATAAGTATTAAGAGAATAAAAATGGTCACAAAAACCAACAGTGGGCCAATTTAAAGATGCACATGAGTTTTATATAAATTGGCAATGCTGGGAAATCCTAATCTGGAAATGTCCCCCCTCTCTTTCCTGTATTTCACTCATCACTTTAAAACAGGCGTTTGGGTTGATTCATTATGTGTATTCAGATTTTTTTAAAGAGGAAATTTACAAATCTCTCTTGAAAGGAAATCTACAATACAGGTAGTCCTCAATTTATGACCACAATGGAGCCCAAAATTTATGTTGCTAAGTGAGAAAACTGTTAAGTGAGTTTTGCCCCATTTTACAACTATTCTTGCCATAGTTGCTAAGTGAATCGCTACAGTTGCAAAATTAGTAATCCAGTTCTTAAGTGAATCTGGCTTCCCCATTGACTTTGCTTGTCAGAAGGTCGCAAAAGGGGATCACTTGACCCTGGCACACAACTGTCATAAATGTGAGTCAGTTGTCAAGCATATGAATGTAAATCACGTATTCATGGGGATGCAACAAAGGTCATAAGTGCAAAAAAATGGCCATAAATCACTTTTTTCAGTGCCATTGTAACATCGAATAGTCACTAAGCGAACTGTTGTAAGTCAAGGACTACCTGTACATATATGGAAAGCCTGTTTCATAACTAAGTCTTCAGCAAACTGAATGTGTCCTGATATGATAGCCCTTAATCATATATGAGATAAGAAAATACTTTCTATTTGGATCTCTGATTACTTTGATCAAATCATTAGGAACATTTCTTGTAGACATGCATAGGCTTTTGCTGTAAAAATTAACTCAGAAATGATTACAGCTTTTTTACAAAATCTGAATCTAATACAATCTATTTATAGAATAGAATTTAATATATAATATAATATATAATATAATATATAATAGAATTTAGAATTTATATGGCCTTGGTTTATAGTGGTTGGCTATCCCATATTTATTTTTTATTTATTCAATTTATACACTGCCTATCTCATTACTACAGTGATTCTTAGTGGCTTCCAAAATGATAAAAAGATAATTCAAAACAGTTAAAATTATGTAAGATTAAATAGAGACTAAAACCCAAGGGGGCAGGTGAGATGGGGGGTGATATTAGAACAATGCAGTGAGTCCCAATTGCTTGCTTTCATAAAAGTTTTATTGTTGCCACAGAAGCTCATATTGTCTTTTAGATGAAAGTATAAAGCC